TGAACCCGTACCTGAGCTTCTACCTCTACGCCAGATCCCAATCGCTAGTGGTCCTAAAAATTTCCTCTATACAAATGAAAGTATTACTAGAATTTTGGAACTATATATGAATAAGACTCTGAATTTCCCACCATCAACATAAATTTAGTATAGATGGACATTATAATGAGTGGATGAAGTATTATGAGTGCAGGTACTGGCTGGCTGACTAATAAAGGTAGGTAGCCATCAGCAAGTTGTGGATATGAATGTGGATTTAAAATAGCTTTAAGTTGATGAATTATAAATTTATGAGATTTCTTTACCATAACATGAAAATTGATGAAGTTTCGATGGAAATTGTGAGACCAATGAATAATGTATAGTGGCAATAATGGTTGCTACCATTGCAGTAAATGAAATAAGAACCACCCCTTGAAACATGGCATTCAATTGGAAGTTGAAGTCACAATGTTGTTCAACTTTAATTACTTGCTCTAGTTCATCTATTGCTATTACCACACAATGAAAAATTAATATTCAAATAGAATTGTTACAGGTTAATTTAGAGGCTTTGATCCAAATATTATATTTATTTTAAAAATCTATTGAATATGTACAAATTATTAATTTAAAATCCAATAATTATAATGACTAGAATTCTGATATAAATCTTGACTTGGCCTATACTTTGAAGCAAGTTATCAGCTTTGATTAGTAGTGCTTCTGTTCTTGGCGCAAATCTATGGCATGTCAGAAATAATAATTCCCCATCTAAGTAAACAATTGGAATTAATAATTACTACTAGCCACTCAAAAGTTTCACCAGATATTAATAACAGTAGTTGTGACTCAAAATGGAAGCCTAACAGCCATTAAAAAGAATAGAGAAAAATCAGCAAATTTTTTGCTATTCTTTACATGAGAGTATGAGTGCTGTATCAAGCTTGCACATTGTAGAAACAAAAATGTCACATTACAGCGATTCCAGCAGCCAGCAGGTAGAGAAAAGGACCATTTGATATCAATATAAAGCTTAATAGAGTAAAACAATATTTTCTCGAACTAGTATTAGTGGGTTACCAACATCAAGCACCTTAGTAATTGGCCTTTGTATAAACTCAGTTGTAGCATAAATAACATTTTAATGTTCTTACTGTGGCTGCACTATGACGTATTACTCATTATGACAAAAGTGAAGGAGAAAAACATCATATACTTTGGTCCACAAGAGACGGGAAAGGGAATGTCCAATGAGTTTCAGATCCTATTCCGTTCGTGAGATTTAACTTATATATACTGACATTATAAAGAAAGTGCATTTTAAAATGTAGCATGTCAACTGATTTGTTTAATCTCACTCATTATCTGATAGCTTAAAAGTTATTTTACACCATCAGTGTCAAACCTCATTGCCACCTTCCAAATTATAATAACTCAAAGCCCAAAAGGGAAAAAATGAAGAAAGAAAGGAAGAATTGGGAAGGACAACTGAGAAACTAAACACTTTGACTTGCAATTTGGAAAAAAAGGAATACTATATGCCCTTGCAAATATGGTAGATTCCAAATGTATCTGTATGGAGTAGATACAGTATAAGAAGCTAACTTCACCAATAAATTATGATAACTTTAACAAATTGAAATTGACACATTAGCCTGTGGTAGAATCCACTTCCAGAAGTATTTCTTGCAATTCCATTGTCAGAGCTTCTCACATCTGTAGCATACAAGACTGAACAACCTAACTAAAGTTACCTAAATACTCTATATAACATGCAAAAAGTATCAGTTTTCACTATTAAATTTCTCATTCTGCAGGTACTTCAACACTCCATAGGTAACTGTTCCAGCCACAAACAGGAAGACTGTTGGAGTAAAGGATGGATACAGATACTTCACAAAAAAATTGTCCCATGCCTCCGGTAAAAAGCCTAGATGCAACAGAAGAGGTAGAAAATTACCACATGGAGATATACATATCTAAAGTAATTGCTCATACATTCAGCTCTAATGTCAAACTAATTTATCAAATCCAAACATTTTTATCTATCGAGATATTTAACGCGAGAAAGATTTATGATGTGTATCATGACAACATAATTCATTTCAAACTACTTTTAGTAAGTTGTTCTGAAACTGTAATCTACTAACAATCTGTTAGTTACAAGAACAAATGTTCAACCATTGATGCAAAAGAAGCTGTGAGAAATTATGAACATAGACTGTACTAATGCTCAGTCATACTTCCTAACTTGATGTAGTCAAACATCATCATATTGTCGGAAGTGTTGGTCCGCTAAAACTAAGCCATTCTAAACCAATGCTATTAAGGAGAACTTGTAGGAAACATGAACACCAAACTCTATGCTACCTATTTCAACTGTTTTCATGTCCAACATCAAAACATATAGAGTACTAGAAGGCACTTGAGAGAGACCAACTCATACGTGTCTCCTAATTTTTATTTTCTTAACTCTGCCACCCATACCACTCCATTGGACATCATTAGAATACTAGCTTTAAATTTTTTTGTCTTTCTAGGAATTTTAATCTGACGCAAGTTGCATTTCAGAGTTTCAAGCTGGAAAAACCATGTTGTGGTCCTAATAACATTCTCCAGAATGAGTGCAGCTCACTCAGCAACTTGAGGAATGGAGACTGAATACTGCTTTATTGACCGAACACCGCTTTGCAGAGAACTGGATAAGAGAGTTGGCAATGAGCAGACCAATCATAAACAAAAAAAAATTCCAAATTGAAATTTTTAAATTTGGAACTTGGAGTGGGCCTAGCACTAGTTAAGCACAATTGATCTTGTGAATATCGTGTTACACATGTTTTAAGGTAGATCTTTCACAAGTGAAGATGGTATTATTTGAAAACTTTTTGGTATATAGAGACCTCCACTTGATTGACAAGAACACAGTGGCAAATCCTGGATAGGTCACCAAGGGGATCTTCTGTATATGTACTCTCTCGGTACTTTGGGATTTTATACCCTCAACTTTCATCAAGAGGAAAATGAGGTAATTCAGGTGTCCATTTGTGAACCAGGAGATTTACTACAAAGGCTTTGGAACATGGTCAGAACTTTTATAATTGGCTCTATTACGAAAGATTGAGCTATTAAATATTAAGAATTGTAATGCTTAGACCCTGGTAATCATGTTTTATGACTATGTGAAGTCTCATCTTTGCTTTATTTCTCAAATGTCAAGCACTTGATCACTTGTGTATGATGCATTGACAAATTAGTTTACATTGTTGACTTGTTGTTTACTGTTGCACTGGATTAACACCACCTCTGGGTTTTCTTTTGTGGAGGGGGAGACAGTTTTTGGAAGCGAGGTGTGTAGTATTTTGTAATAAAAGATCTTGGGTTGGGCAAGATGTATCTCAAGCAATTAGTAAACTGTAAGGGAAAACAACGGTGAATTTCAAAATCCTTAGGGTCCATATGCCCCCCCTTAAATCCATCGAATGTCTATTCTAACTAGATACACCCTTTGCTGAACCCTATGGAGTGGTTGTTGATGTTGGAACTTAGATAGTTTGGTCTATATACGGAAAACACTCGTTCAACGAACAAATTTCAATATATTTGTCAAATTATTTTAAATTGATGTTGTTTAACAAATATAAAGTAATTTATTTCTTATATATGCTTGTATTCAAAATTGCACTTCCCTCTATCCGTGCCTTAAGCATGTCTGGAACTAATTTTTCACAACTATAGTGTCTTATTAAAGGTCAAATCTCAAAATATACTTTATTAGTAGTAATATGTTTATACACAGGAACGGATTGTTCATCATATAATGAGGAGATTTCATCTAAATTATAGTGTAATTGAGGGAATATAATCCTAATTCAATACATTTCAAGCATAGCGACAATTAATCAGATAATCACTCACTTACTAGAAGAAATGAAGCTACTTAATTGTACTGCAATTGGAATGAAGTTAAAAGGGACAAATTAGAAAATAGAATTGAAGGGTGAATTTGAGATAAAATGAAGGATGGGGCTATAAGTTTACCTGAGGCAGCAAGAAGGATACCCTCCACAAGAATAATAGCACCAAGTCCTAACCAAGCAAGAAGAAAAGCACTCTCATTTTTCTGAAATTCCTTCGATCCACCAGATTCCTCCGGTTGAGTAGCAAACCTAGGCTTTTGAATGGGTTCTCTTCGAATAACTGAAGCCCTTTCTCCTTTTCCCTTTTGTTGTTTCTTCTTGGATGATGTTACCGAAGAGCCAAAACCTAAGGAACTAGAGCTCGCCTTTTTCGGAGGTGGAACCACCGTAGATGATGACGTGTCCTCTGTAGATTTATCAGAAGAAGGGTCCTGGAATTTGATTGAGAAATTTCTGAGGGTGGGATGGGAATGGTGAAGAAGATGAGGTTTCTTAGTATGTGGTGAGTAGTTCAGTAGTAGCGCCATTTTCAGTTTAGTTTGTTAAAGTGGTTCCTTTTCTATTTTTCTTTCTTTGTAACCCCGGTGGTCTAATTATGTACGAATAGTATTTGCCCCTTCCTTACAAACAAAAAAATATACAATAATATCTATTTGTTGGTAATTACACGATAAGGATACGAGTGAAAAAGTTTTTTTGTGATTTTTGAGTTTTCAAGCTAAATCTTTTACAATGTTTTTTCAAGTTATGTTTTGTTCTTGCCATTTACTATAGAATCTAGATGGGAGTCATTTCTTTTTTCGGAAAAGCAATAATTCCATTACTTAATACAAGATCTGGAATTTGCTTAATCGAAAAAGAAAAGACAAAAAGACTTGCACTAAATGCCCTGGATTCGAGTTTGCACTATACAAGATGTGTTGGGATATTTAAGGAACCTGTCACACACGAAAGAAAAGAAAAAAGAAAAAATCATCCAAGCAATTCGTTGCATGACACCCTGCCTTGCTATTCAGCGACTGGAAATCAGGAATGTTATTGGCTCTTCTTTTGTCTTTTGGGGGAGGGGGGAAAGACTAGGACTTGAGAGGAAAAAAAAGGTAGAAAAAGTGTATTTTCATCCATTAATTTTTTTTTTAGAGATGCTGGGTTATTTTCCATACCACTTCCTTGGTCAACATTCATGTTGCACATTGATAAACTCCCTTGCATCATTACATCTCCTGTTTTATTGGAATACACGCACTTTGTCAAATTAAGCAAAGAATGATCAAAATACACACAATTAGTTTCTTCGGAGAATTGCTCATTAAATAGCCTGGCCATGAGATGTTTCCTCTGAACACTAACTTCAAGAATGACATGCTGGCAAATTGTTTAATTTGCTTGCTTGGCCGTGATGAAATCTCTTCAGACCAGCATCATATAGTTACTACTATTACGATGAGAAGCATCTTCTTAAATCAACACCAAGTCACTCCAACCCTTCTATGATGGCCTGCAATTTGCACGCTTAGCTACTGGCCTCACCATGGTTTAGTACAGGGGAAGGAATACTTTACCTTTATTTGGGGGTTAGAACTCCTTTTGCTAGCGTTTTTTGAGCTCCATTTCCTCACAAAGGCTTGTAATGTCCGGTATTATTCCACCACTGCAATTCCTTAAGATGCCACTCCCCACAAGATCATTCAGTATATCAGCTGGATCTTTGGCTCCTCCATGCTGCAAAAATTTCGTTCTTAAAGCCAAACCCGTGTCAAGTGATAAAGGATCCTCTTGGCATATCCTTTGCCAGATAGTTGTGGCAAAGCATTTTGCATACAAGTAGCTATAGTAACCTGCACAAGTAAGGTTAAAGATGTTGCACCATTTTATTAGTACGTGCAATGAAGTACAACAACAATAACAAACCCAGCTTAATCCCATGCATGGGGTCTGGGGAGTAAGTGCAATGAAGTGAAAAATAAAATATACTAGAACTGACATAATACAAAGATTTAGAACCAAACATTCCAAAAAAACAATATTTATCAAAAAGAGATAAGAAAAAGGAATAAATCAAATAGTAACAAAGAAGAAAGAAAATCTTCACAACTACCTCAGACGAATGTTGCTCTACATTCCAAGCTCGTCATTATCGAATTACTCTATAACCTAAAACCTTCTGCATTTTACAGCTTTAGGAATAGAACTCCACAACTAGAACAAGCTGAAGATAAAAGGTTGGATGTTATAGAGTACATCTTTCTTGCATCTTCTACTTCCACAATTCTCCATTACACCATATCAAGCAGTGAATTTTTTTTACGTCAAATATCCCCTTTAAGGGGATAAAAAACCTTTATGATACATCATTTGACTAATTAAACAAATTATACTTATAGTTCATGTGGCATCTCAATATTTTGGTACATCAGTCAAATCTCCACTTTCGATATAAATGCACAAGTCTCTTAGAATCTAAGAATGACCAATTGACATCCAAAAAAAGGAAAACACATATAACTACTCGCCAGAAGTAAAGGGAAAAGGGAACTAACACCCACCATACCATCTTGCCAAAGTTTCCACTAGCCCCATTACTGTCTCCCACTACCTTCGAGTTCTGAGAATCACACAACAGATTATAGAGGAATAGCACATCTAACAAGTAACTAATCTAATACTAAAATCATTTTTCAAGAAAGATACTTGAGATCAAAGTTTAAAGGTGGTAAAGAAGAAATCCTGATTGGACCACCTACTATGAATCATGCATTTATTAAACTATGTCCAAATCGCCAAATAGTTAAGAGTGCAGATGGTATATCAGATAAATAACAGTGCAATGGTCTCTCACATATAGAGGCAACTATCACAAACGTGAGTCCATTAACTATATCATTCAGATACCTGCACCATAGTTTGTAAGGTGACTGAATCGGGTATGCCAATGTGTTCCTTCCACATGTGTCCAACTTGTATGTTGTCTTTTCAAATCTGCAACAATCGCCATTGTATCTCTCCCTGTGGATGTCTGCTCTCCGAAAAGTGTTTGGTCAACTAATGCGTAGAAGATCTGATAAAATGAAAAGGCTGCATAGGTCAAAGCTCTTAACCCAAGTTTCCTAAAAATTGAACTGAAGAAATGCTCACAAACAGAGTTAACTAGGAAGGCCCCTGCAAAAGATACCTGGCGTTGCAATTCAGTTGCAGCAAACATCTTCTTAGCTCCCACCATTGATTCCACGAGTTCTTTGGGAATGACATCACCAGTTGAGTAGTGCTTAGCAAATGTCTTTAACACCCGATAATCCCATGCATAGGACCTATGGATCAACAACATTGCCAGTACTCAAGTTAATAACTGATATGACAGCATCAACATGCGCATGAAGCATTCACCCTGCACATAGAATATATAGCATGTACATTGCATACTAGTGGTGCTTAAACCAGAAAAACTAGGATCAAAAGATTTATCCATTTCGTGCCAAATCTAACGACGATGATATCACATGAAACAAAAAGGTAAACAAACAGCAGATAATCCAATGAGCAGTGTTCATCAAACATTTGTCTTCATATCACTGATGAATAGTATGGATCAAAGAGAGCATTCTTCTCACTCAAATAGGTTTGAAGGCGTTTCAGCAAAATCAAGAACTACTCTTGTACCCGGAAAGTGTTGATATTCCTGCACAAGTAGCCAGCCATCAAGTGAACTAGATGAATATTTCAAAGCGAAAGTGAAAAACCACTAGCAAATAGAAGCAGAACAAAACTAGTACCGTTCTTGAGAGCAATGAATGGAGAGCATGCCCAAACTCATGGAAAAGTGTTTCTACTTCAAAGTGGTTAAGCCTCACAGGAGCCAAACTCGACCCAGAGAAATTGCAAACCAGTGCTACAACCTATGAGTTTAACATGCACAGATAACTTCTCAATAACTAGGTAAAAATAAAATAAAAATATTGCAATGATCCATATCATCCTGAAGCAGTAACCTTAAAGTAGACTCTAGCATGATATTATGCATTTAAATGATATGACTACCCAGAGACCACAGAAGCCTCAAACTTACATTACAAACAAACATTTGATTTAGGATTTATTTATTTTGGTTTTTTGGTACGCTAGGACAAGTTTCTATTGGATAAACTAAAAACAACTTCCTCGGATGACCTTTGAGAACTCATCTAGATAGCATAACTAACAAGAAATCAGAGAATCTACAACTTGCAAGTAGAAAAAGACATTTAATTTAAGAAAACAATTGGGTTCTATCAGCATAAACTATAACGAACTTCTTTGGATGACCTTTAAAAATTGACCAGTTTTAAGCTACTAGGTACAGGTACACATGATTTTTATTCCAGGGTATTGTGAAAGATAAGTCCCAATGCCCTCACCCATACCCAGTCGAAACAGGTATATTGAACAATGTAATATGGATTGACTGATCAACTGAGCATTTCCTGGTGGTCCTGTTTTCCTCAAACTTACACATTACTCCAGTTGCTAATGTTTTCCTCAAACTTACACATTACTCCAGTTGCTAAATAAAGACATAATAAAAATACATGCATCGCATGTGATATGAAAAACTGAGATGAAGAAAAAGAGAATTACGATCTTACATACAGGAAGTTGGTATTCTGTCTCGGAAACACGACGCCCTCCTCGGATAGCGAAATGAGCACAAATGGGATGTTTACCTTTTCTTGACTTTAAATCAAGGTATAAGTACCCCAGGTCTCCCTGCAAACACGTATATAAACTAGATCAAGTGGATGGATGTTAAGACTACCGCTAAATGGACATTAAAGGAAGAGCCAAATGCACATCAGGATACTATAATGGATCAACTTGACGGACAAAGAAAGGCAAAGTTAAATTATATCTGCCAACATCCCCAATTTTAGACCATTAGTCCATTTGGCCATCCAAAATTCAATATCGGAAACAAAGATAATGATACATGTCAAATGTAGTGATAGGTTGGTTAGTAAAGAAGTATCATTAGCAAAATAACTGTTATGAACGAAATTCCTCCTTTGCCACACCAAAATTTTCAAATCAAAATGGAAACGCAAAAGTAAAGAAAGAGAAAAAGAATTTTCTTTGAAAGGTGGATATCCAGTAATCTCATACTCCAGTTAAGATGACATATGTTACTATATAACAAGATAGCCATTCTAGAATGTTAGACTTGCCTCAGTCGGATGATGTAGCACTATCTTTAACACATCCGGATGCCATGATTCACCAGGTGCAAGGGGTACTCTGTGAAAAGTCACACCAAAGAGTGACTCAACCAAAATTTTCAAACCCTCAATACACTGTGGTAAAGGAAAATATGATGCTATAATCTGCAATATTAACAACAAGAGCAGTTCTGTCAAGAAACGTCTTTAATTACATTGAGAGATGACAAAACAAAAAAAGAACCTTCAGAGCATGTAAAAGCCTTCATCATAGCAGCAATTAGTACTTCATATGTCAGTTGAATCAGAAATCTATAAGTATTTATAGCTAGGATAGTCATACATGTCAAATCCATTCACAACAAAATAGGAGGAAACAGGGAATTTCAATGGTATGTTCTCTCCTCAGTCCACCTCTTCTTTAAGATTTACATCCAATTTCACCAATAAGCACAGAAAGTAGGTAAAATTTCCATGAGACACAAGAAAATAGAAGAGCAAGCCCAATTTACTCGATCACACTAATTACACATGAAATAGACTACAGTCTGACGAAGCCCAAGCTCTGACAGTGACGCTAGTTTTGCTCAAAAACCTTTAATTGCCAATGGTAATCACTTCCTCTTGTCGTCCATATGAGAGAACAAGTGGATGAAGAGTACAAAAGGAAAACAGCTATGAGATAGTCATACATGTCTTCCAAAGCCATTTATGAATTCAATTTCATGCTTTTTCTGAACTCACATCATCAGTCCACAGAATCGTCTCCAAGAAACAAAATAGCACTCCAGCAAACAAAGAAGAAGATGGAGAAACATCCTTCTTTAAAGGCCAAGTAGTTGGCTCAATGCTTTAAGTTCCAGGAAAACCCTGACCTCTCAATGCCTGGGAAAACATGTCTTTTTTCCATTTTTAGTTCAATTTAATCAATCACTTTGTATCCCTGATGAGTTATCAGCATATATTTTATAAGTTCTCATCTACCGTATCGGAGCTGGATGGATGAAGTGGAGGCTCGCCTCCGGTGTCTTGTGTGATAAAAATGTACCGCTGAGACTTAAAGGTAAGTTCTACAGGGTTGTAGTTAGACCGACTATGTTATATGGTGCAGAGTGTTGGCCGGTCAAGAACACTCATGTCCAGAAGATAAAAGTAGCTGAGATGAGGATGTTAAGGTGGATGTGTGGGCATACCAGGTTGGATAAGATTAGGAATGAAGTTATTCGGAATAAGGTGGAGTGGCTTCTGTGGACGAAAAGGTGCGGGAGGCGAGGTTGAGATGGTTCGGGCATGTTAAGAGGAGAAGTATAGAAGTCCCGGTCAGAAGGTGCGAGAGGTTAGCCTCAGTAGGTATCAGGAGGGGTAGAGGTAGACCTAAGAAGTCTTGGGGCGAGTTTATTAGGCGGGACATGGTGCAGCTGGAGTTGAATGAGGACATGGCCCTAGATAGGAGGGTGTGGAGGTCGAGGATTAGGGTAGAAGGCTAGTAGGTAGTCGAGCGTATCTCTTTGTCTTTCCCAGTTCGCTAGCATTAGTATTAGTATGATATCCTTTTATTCACGGATTGCTATTATTACCTAGAGTTTAATTGCTTTCTTGGCTTCAGTATTTTTATCTTGTTGTTATTCCTTCTTGTTGCCATTACTTTTGTCATTCGTTCTCCAGCCGAGGGTCTATCGGAAACAACCTCTCTGCCCTTCTAGGGTAGGGGTAAGGCTGCGTACATCTCACCCTCCCCATACCCCACTTGTGGGAAGATACTAGGATTGTTGTTGTTGGTGTTATTGTTGTCTATCTATGGAGATACTAAAAATAGAATGTAGAGTAAGAAAGAGCATTGGTACACCTTGATAAGATACAACAACAACAACAACAACAACAAACCCAGTATATACCCATAATACACCTTGATAAGATAATAGAAAAATAATTAGGCTTCGCTGGTTACCGAGGAGTCCAACTTGTATGTTGCAGACTTCATCAACCATGTGAAGTATGCCTCATCCCATGGCTCCAACTCTCCACTAGGCTCACCACTTTTCTCTCTCTTGAAATCCCGAATTGCCTCAAACTCCTATTTAAAGCATCAACATTTTCAAGAGCTTGAATCAGCCCTGGCAGAGTAATATAATCAGTGTCTCATTCATATAAGTAAAATCTACAACATACTTGATCAGCCTTTGGTCTGACCACTTTGCTCATTTCAAGCAAAAAGGATAAGACCACTTCAGGAGATGCAGCCATAGTAGAATGTAGAGAAAATTCAGCATAAGATTTATAACCCATAAGCTGCAAGTTAGCAGGATAAAGCATATCAGTATTGACCAAAATAGATGATTACTGAAGAATCTAATATCGTTGATAAATGAACAAGTGGAAGTAATAGTGAATTAATGAGAATCAAGGAGAAAAAGTACTGAATAATGATTGACCAAATCAGGAATATTCAGATTAAGCATATACCAATCACGAGTTATAATCTCCGTCCTGAAAATAGTTATATTACTTTCTTATTTGGATTGTCACAAAACGTTGCAGGCTTTCCTTAATTAGGAACCCCGAATATGTTTGTACAGCATAAAAAGTGTTACAAGAATCTTCTCGATGCACTTTTTTCACTATTCTATAACATTAACAACATGAGAATCAATATATGGCCCCATATATTTTCTAAAAGATCAAATATATTAAGCAACTCATATTCTCAACTCTTCTCTTAATATAGCCCAGTCAAAATGGGTTAATGAATTGGGACACACCTAATCTCAAATTAGGTACATATACATTCCACTGCTTTTACAACAGTGTCTTATGTCAAGACATTAATACTACTACAAAGAAAGAGGAACTCTCACCAATCAACTTGAAGAAGCAGCTAAACATACAGAATTAGCTTATGGCATTCTTAAGAAAACACCTAGTCTATTTGCACTAGAATTGATGTTATTATATAGATTATTTTGTGAAGTATTAAATTATATCAGTAAAAGAAGTACTGGAAGAGCATTTCCACATGCTTGGACCAAAGAATAAAATCAGGCTACACCATGAGGAGTATTGCAGAAGAAAGTAATTAATTAGAAATGCCCCTTCTCTAATAGTTTACGCTTTTTGAAGAGAATGTCAGACAATTCAACAAAAACTGAATTCTTTGCTAGACCAAAAGTGTTAACATAATAACCTGAGCAAACTCATGTCTTGTTGCGATAAGCTTATCAAGAACCTCAAGGTTTGCATGTGGAACAGAATTTCCTTGGACATATGCCATCTTCCTGACCTGGACAAGATCATATTCAGTCATTAAACAGTAAAAGCTCTTCTCTTTTTCCCGTCAATAGTTGAATGAAGCCTCATGAAGACAACAAATAAGCCAAGGTAAAGACACTTGAGACGGATATAAATGTTTAAGTCTCTTCTTGACTTGTGAAAGTCTAGGGAGAGATTTAGATGGAATCTTTTGAAAATAGGAAGGTGCTTCTGAGGAAACAAATAACAAGGTATTGTACTGTGCAGAAACAGAGGGAAAGAATACCTGATTCATGAAGATACCCACACATCCCTGCTACTAAGAAGGAAAGGATTACCACTTCATTTCTATTCTCCAGTTTGTCAAGTCCAAAAAATGATGTACAATTCATAAAGAGATACTAGAATCATTTGTTTTCTTTTCTTTGGTGGTCTTCTCTTTCCTTTCCCAAACCCTATACCCTAAAATCAGCATTCAAGACCTCCCATACATAACCCACTAAAATGATTGGAGTAGATATTACGTTTGCTAGGCCTGCACTCTCATCTATGCTTACCGGTGTCAATGTTAGAGGTTTGCCTTGAACTGCTAATGCTTTAGTTTCCCAACACTAGGAGGAAGAGCGAACAGGGAAGAAGTTGCACTACTAATACAATATGCATACTAATTGATTATTCTGAAAAGCAACGCGAAATTTCCGAGCAGGATTAAGTTATAACTAACAGCACATAGAGGTTGATCAAAGTTACCCCAGCATCTGGTAAACATTGAAGAAGGCCTTGCAGAGTACTTGGTTCAGTTGCTATGCGGAATCCTTTTTCTTTTATGTTATCTCTTGACCCCAGAGATTCCTTAGATGCACCTGGTATGTTACGATAGATAGGGCTGACAAAATGGTGCATTTTCTTAGGGATCTTAGAGGCTGGAAATATATCCACATGGCCAGGGTCAGTAATAATATTTTTATTATACCTGACAAAAAAGGAAAAAGATGAGCATTAGTCCCAATTATACAAGCCTGCACGCAGCGACTAGAAACATTGAAGGCAATTTGATATATCATGCAATAAAAAAAGGGTCAAAGTGCAACTAAAGACTGACTAAAGTCAAGTCCCATCTCGAGAAAATTTGTAGATGACCCATAGGTGAGATTCCAAGAACTATATGTAAGGTTAAGGTCCCATAACTGCATACGACTTACAATGAACAGAGAAAGAAAAATTTGGACTCTCCTAAAGGAAGAGGAAATGGGGGAAGGAATGCATGAGTCCATTTAAACATGCACCAGCTAGAGGCCCGCCAGATCAGGTGTTACACTGTTACTAGAGTATTCATAATTGACAAGAAAAGTGCTGAACACTCACCCATCAATTCTACTTATGTTATGCAAGTTTAAGCACAAGTTCAGCATTTATATGCATAAATTCAGCCAGAAATAAACAGGCTCTTACAAGCAAATTGAATAAAACATTAATTAAAAAGAAACAAAACGAATCCCAGTCACACACAAAAGCACTTCTTCAGATACTAATTCAGTAAATCATCTCGGAAAAAAAAAATGCATTTGCTATATGGGTGCTCATTTAAACTCAACTACGAACTTGTTAAGAACTGAATATAGTTCTCTTCATCAAAAAAGAACTGAATATAGTTCTTTTCCCTAAAGAATATGAGCAAATTTGATAACCACCCAAGAAATTAACTAAAGTTAGAGTAGCATACTTGCTAAAAAGAAAATAGTCACTATCTACCTCTAGTAGACTTGATCCAACATATAGCTATGATTCAAATAGCAACCTGATATGGATCTAACAGTTACACAATAGGACATCAAATAGTTGGTAAATCCCATTTCAAGTTCAAAATCAACTCCTATACTTACAAGAATCATGTGATCTCTTTTAACAACATTAAAATTATTGAAAACATGAAACATCAATAAATTAATAAAATCCCAGGAACACTAACAAGGAGATGGTTTTCACTTACTCTCTACACAACTGAATAATGTCAATGGATAGCTCATTAGCTCGATCAAGCTTTTCTGTGAAGCCAACCAAGGTACCTAAATTAGTGCAACTATAATGATTTACCAGGAAAGACAACAGTTGTAAGAAGTCAAGTACCAGGGCAAAGATGGATTCCCCCCTTTTCCAAGTCCATTCGTAGAAAGCGGGCTGCCCTCTGAGCTTCATGAGTGAGTGAGCTATCTTTTTCTGCTTTTATCACTGCCTTGTATATACTATGGTTTGTATTAAGGTACTGCATGACAAGGAGCAAAAGAGTCAATCAACCAATTGCAATGGAGAGTCTTCCAAAGCAACTGTATCAAAAAGCAAATCCAGTAGCGGCAAGTACATTTCCAGACTATATGACTATCCTTCCAAACGTCTTTCGTCAATCTTGTGAACATTGCCAACTTGGAGACAATTTTGATTAGAAACTGTTTCTACATCACGGGGTTTACTTTTACCTCCTCCTTTTTCCACTCGATATTAATCTAATTCTTCAATTCATGGCTGTTGTTGCTAATTTGGCAAGGACATGTTATCTTTACAGTTTCATTGTGTCGGCAAAGGATAATCAGCGCAATACCACATATAGGGAGGTAGAAAAACTTCACTTGAAATTTAGCCAATATATCATAATGATGCTTAGTGGATGTGAATAGATTACTGTACCACGAATAAGCGAATCCAGATTACCTCAAACTTCAGGATGAAAAAAGAATTGGAGCATCCAACCCAAAATTAAGAGAATGGGTGGAGTAGTGTAGGACCATTTAAAGTTTAAACCCCTTGGGAAATCCTTAAACAACCGATGAGGGACAAGTGCTCTAACACCCTCCCAGACGTGTAACCTGTTTCTAGGGTTTACATATGGATTTTGTTTTTTTGAGCTGAGTTGAGAGAGAAGCCGTGAGCATTACAATGTGATAGAGAGAAGACCATGTAAACCCTGAAAGAATCTGAGCAACCAACCCAAAACCTTAAGGCAATGAGTGGAGTAGCCCAGGACCATGTAAACCCCTTTGGAAACTCGTACACAACGGATGAGGGACAAGTGCTCTAACACATGAGTCTACAGAAGTTTAATTCTGATTATTGGCGACCATCAAGTGTGAGAAGGGACAAAGATCACAAAGTGTACCAAGTACCATACACCAAATGAGACAGTCGAGTGAGATAACAACAACAGACCCAGTGCAATCTCACAAGTGGGATCTGGGGAGGGTAGTGTGTACGCAGACCTTACCCCTACCTTCAAGAAGGTATAGAGGTTATTTCCGAAAGACCTTGACTTAAAGAAAGATAAAAGGAAGGGCAACAGCAAGCACACCAATTAGAAAACCGAAGCAAAATACAAAGATACAAAACTAAAATCGAGTATTGTAATCAGAAGGCCGAAACGAAAGCAACAACAAGTAATCACATAAATCAAGGAATACGAAAATACATAAATAACGCTAACTCATGTACTAAAGCTATTGTTATAGACAAGGACAACGCTAGGCGACCTATCATAACCCTTTACCTTTATTCTCAACCTCCACACCTTCCTATCCATGGTCATGACCTCAGTGAGCTGAAGCAATGCCATATCTTGCCTAATCACCTCTCCCCAATACTTCTTCGGCCTACCTCTACCTCTCCTTAGGCCCTCCAGGGCCAACCTCTCACACCTACTCACCGGTGCATCTGTGCCTCTCCTCTTCACATGCCCGAACCATCTAAGTCTCGCCTCCCGCATCTTGTATCCATAGGGGCCACGCTCACCTTGTCCGGAATAATTTCAGTTCTAATTCTATCTAGCCTGGTATACCCGCACATCCATCTCAACATCCTCATTTCAATCACTTTCATCTTTTGCACATGAGAGTTCTTGACTGGCAAACACTCCAGCCCCATATAACATAGTCGGTCTGATCACCGCTCTATAAAACTTACTTTTTAAGTTTAGGTGGCACATTCTTATCACAAAACACCTTAAGCGAGCCTCCATTTCATCCATCCCGCCCCAATACGATGTGTAACATCCTATTCGATCTCTCAATTCCCTTGTATAACTCAGGGGCGGCTCAATAATATATTTGGCCCAAAGCCAAACTTCAATGATGGGCCCTAAGCTCTCTTTTTTTTAAGTTTATTGTTCTAGCTTTTAGAGATGTAAAATTATTAATAATTTATTTATAAAATATTTCAAATGCACAATAATAAAAATATAGTACAATCAAACATGATTCAACAAATAGATATAACTACATATATTTTTGGTGCTTCAATATTCTTGATGCAATGCAAAAAAATTGAGAACAAACAAAAGAGGTCACAATTGTATTTCTGGTCTTTTATTTTATGAATAGTTTATAAAATAGTTAGTCATACATTAACACTTGAATTCTAGAGAAGGCCAAATGAGTGTAGAATAGTAAAAGTGAATGCACTTCTGCATAAAAAGGTTATAAAGAGATAAAAAGAATGTGGGCTCATTAATAGTGATGTTTATATATAAAAACAATAAGGCAAGAAGGTCTCTCCAAAGTTCTCATCTTTCCTTGAAATTGTTTACTTTATTTTAAAATACCTAATATTCTTAAAGAAAAATTGACACATGTAAATATAACTGTTGGGAAATTTTGGGGCCCTCCAAAGTAGGAGGCCCAAAGCAGCCGCTTCATCTGCTTTACCGTTGGGCCGCCTCTGGTATAACTTACCCAAGGTATTTAAAACTGTTTCTCCTAGGGATGAATTGAAAATCAAGCCTCACTTTTTCGTCCACGACCTGAGTGGTCCCACTGAACTTGCACTCCAAGTATTCTGTCGTGGTCCTTCTTAACTTGAAACCTTTAGACTCCAGGGTCTGCCTCCAAATCTCTAACCTCCTGTTAATACCGTCTTGCGTCTTGTCAATGAGAACAATGACATCCGCAAATAACATGCACCACGGCCAGTGGCGAAGTCAGAAAATTTTGAACACCCTTTGCCAGTGGGCTATGCATAGGGTGTTCAAAGTCTATTTTTTAATTAATAACAAGTAATATTTTACCTTATATGTAGTATAATTTTTTGGCGAACGGTGTTCAGTTGACCACCCTTGGGCCAACATAGTTTCGCCCCTGACCACGGCACCTCTTCTTGTATGTGGCGCGTCAGCGCGTCGATCGCAAAGGCAAATAGAAATGGATTAAGGGCGGACCCCTGATGCAACCCCATCATAACTGAAAAGTGTTCCGAGTCCCCTCCCACGGTCCTAACTCGAGTCTTAACTCCATCATACATGTCCTTAATAGTCTTAATGTAAGCAACAGGAACACCTCTAGCCTCCAAACATCTCCACAGAACCTCCCTTGGCACTTTATCGAAAGCCTTCTCTAAGTTGAGACAGTCGTATGAGATATATCCTAATAATCCTATTATCGTATTTACCATTAAATTACTTCAACTATTTATTCTCTGACATCACTAACTAAAATTGAAGCAATTTAGTCCAACACAATTGTCAGTGTAAACACAAGTAATGACATTTTAAATTTCTTATATTATCAGTCTAAAGTGCATCTCCAGGTTTTACTTTCCCGTATAAGCATTGGTTATGGGCTTATAGCTCTTGGGTGGTACAGAATTATGCAGCTGAAGATAAGCAGCAATTATTTCAAATTTTTCTATAATCAGCAAAGCGAAAAACATAACTAACAAACCCAATAATATATCAGAAATCTTACATGTAAAAACTCATTTATTCGTAAGCCCGCCTTGCTTGCCTCGTCAACAAACTCCCTAAAATGCGACATTTCTATGTAAGTACTCAAAGCAAACAAAAATAAGATCGGAAACTGTAGATATGGTTACATAGATTATCTCAATCCTAGTTCACCACCTGTCTGGATGAGTATGTCTGCATAATTCAGCTGAATCAATTACTGAGCACACCTATCAAATCAAATAGGTCAGTTATGGCCTGGCAGTTGAAGCAAGTTTCACCTGTGCGAGTCCAACTACTTGTGTTCTTTCAACAAAAGCAGAATTAGACCATAAAAACACAAACTTACAGTATCAGAAATCTCATCCATTGCTCGGATAATTTCAGGAGATGAAGGCATGCCAGCTATATAGTTCACAAGTTCTTCTGACCTAATAAGCATGTGAAATTTTTTTATCAAACACGTGGACGACATGATAAAGAAACTCATTCCTGAAATATGGCTATTGCTTTCACAAGAGACAAGCGAAGCAGTTGACATTCGCCGGGCAAAAGTAAAGAATTTGCTACCTGTTTGTTAAACACTTACCTTTCAATAGCATCGTCGACGAATCGTTGAAAGCCTTTAGGAGTTTTCAAATGATTATAGCCGTAGAGGCCCGTCTCTTTGATTGACGGAGCTTTAGATGTTGAAATGTGAATGAAGTGGGAATTGGCTCGTACATGAGCGGCGGATTGGCGCATCAGAGCGTGCATGGCGTTCCCCGTGGACTGGACTGCTGAAATCAAATCTTACAACGAGGTCCTGCTCCTCTTGTTCTTTCAGTCTGCAGAAGCTGCCGGCTCCAATTGGAGGTCCTTCTACTGTCCCAAAGGAAGAAACTGAGAAACCAGAAGAAGAACTCCGGTGAGAAATGGCGCTTTTCGACTTGAAAATCGTTCTCGTTGGAGAAACAATTACAATTTTGACTCAAATGTCAAAAATATAGTAGGGGTAAATGCAGTTTTAAACTTTCATGTGAAATCCGAAACCAAAGTAAAAAATTTCTTTTAAAAAACCGTACTAGTATAATACTATGTACCTATAGCGCATACGTCATATATGCGTGCGTTATAAAACCCAAAAGTAACGAAGCAGCTAACGGCCTTGAAGGCCAAGGTGTAGTACCCAGGGGCAGGTCTATTAAGGGAGGTGGGGGTGCCACGCCGCCGGCGAACCACTTCTATGTATATTTAGAAGAAAGTGGCTATGTACCAAATGATGGCACCTGGATTAACAAACTTGTTCTAGGTAGAGTGCTATCTTCACGTGTGTTATTAAGTGCTGCCAGCATGGATAAGCAAACCAATCAAAAATTTCCAAGTTTTTTGCAATGCCACATAGACTTCTTACCGGTAAAACCAAATATAATTATCCTCTTCCTAAAAACCCACTCGTTCTTGGACATTCCCAAAGACAAAACACCAAAAAAAAAATAATAATAATAATAATAATAAGTCCCAAATTCAATTTCAGTAAAATCAGTCCAAAGCGATGCATGTCTGTTGATTCTGCTTCGTTTTCGTCCGATATTTAGTGGTAATCACTGCTATAGGTTGATATTTATTCGATTTACCTTCTGTGTTTGAAAAAACATCATCAATCGAAGTGCTAAAATGTTGAAATTCCGCTTGATTAGAGATTCTTCATATTCATTATTAAAGTGCCGAAAGTGTAAACCTTTTTAGTGTTTTGTATTGTAGTTATTTTAGTGGTTGGCAGTCGTGCGATTTGGGACCACAATTTGAGTTTTTTTAAAAAGAAATTTAGGAATATTAAAAAACAGTGATGTTAGATTTTATTGTTATTAATTTTCACCATAGTGGTAACTTTACCCTTGACCCTAACTCGAAATATGTGGGGGAGCAGGAGGTGTTAATAGCTGATATTGACAAAGACCACTTTTCAATTTCGGAACTATTATATTATACTAAAAAAAAATAGGATATGCTACAGTGGGTGGCTTCTATTACCAAGATCCAGAATATAAGAATTTTGTCTTTGTGCAAAATAATACACAATTATTATATATTGTGTGTAACCAAGAAAATGGAGATAAGATACACTTGTATATTCAGCATATTGTTCTAAACCCTGAGTTAGTGGATGATGTGACCCCTACTGGACTAATTGGTGGTCCAGAAATAGGTGTAACTGAAGTGAATGGTGCATCTGGGAAAACAAACATAGAAAGGAGGGAAGATGTTTCTATTGAAACTGAAGTGAGGAAAAATGTTTGTGCTGATTTAATTGGTGTGGGGAGGGAGAAGGTTGTTAGGAAAAATGTTGGTGTTGATGTTGATTTAAATGGTGTGGGAGGGATGAGGTTGTTAGCGAAGATGTTTCTGCCGATTTAAATGGTGTGGGGAGGGAAGAGGTTGTAGAATGTGATGTTATAGTTCTTGATGGTGCTATTTCAGATCTGGACAGTAGTAGTGACTCAGATTTCGATGTTATTCCATAAGAAGATGATAGCGATGTTGATGAAGAGTTGATAGCTGTCAGGAATGAAAAGAGAACAAAGTTATAGGCTAGAAGAAGGAAAAAATTAATTGTTCATGTAGAAGTACCTCTAAGAGAAGGAAAAATAAATAGAGGTTTTGAAGACATTGGCAAGAACAAGGCAGACAAAAATGCTGGTACATTGGGGAGGGGTGAGTACTATGTTGATCGTTCAGATATAGGTAGTGATGATTGTGATGTGGAAGCTGAAATTGGTGTTGATTTACCAAGTAGAAAGGAAGTGTACAAAGTTAAAATATGATCCAGAATGTGTTGTGGCTATTTTTGAATTTGGCATGATATTTCAGAATGTCAATCAATTTAGGAAGGCGATGATATACTATGCAATTGAATACCATGTACATTTGAAACTCAAACCTAATGATCCATCTAGGGTGAGGGTGAAATGTAAATCTAAGATTTGCCAGTGAGAGTTCTTTGCAAGTATTGACAGGGATTCAGGGAATTTTATAGTTAAGAAGTATCATCATTTCAGTGGCCTAGCTACAGAGGACGCACAAGGCTTTCTGGAAAAGTGCCACTGTATTCTCCATAACATGGGTATAGTGAAGACGAGCGGGGGTTCTTTCACTTCTTTCTAGCTATCGGGACTAATTTTCGAAAATTGATTTGAGATCTGGTTACCATCAGTTAAAGATTAGGGCATCTGATGTCCCTAAGACAGCTTTTCGGACTCGGTATGGGCATTACGAGTTCCTAGTGATGTCATTTGGGTTGACAAATGCTCCAGCATCATTTATGGATTTGATGAATCGGGTGTTCAAGCCTTATTTGGATTCTTTTGTGGTTGTATTTATTGATGATATCTTGATTTACTCCAGCAGTCGAGAGGAGCATGAGCGGCATGCACTCCAATGAACAAGAACAAGCTTTGTAATTCTAAGTATATTGCTAACAAATTCAGAGATAGGATCACTTCTCAGTCCTATATTAGGATCTGAAAAATACAAGAATTGGTTAGAGACAAATTATTTTTATATGTTGATAGAACCATTTGTTACAGGACAAAACAGATAGTTCTTAGGAAGTTTATAGGAGATTGGAAGATGGAGTTTGCTAGATTATGTGACGATGCTGATATTATTACACAAACCAATTCTGATAGCACTTGCTTGGTCAAATCTGACAGGAATTCAGAGCCTGGTAAGAATCTGTTTAAATATTTATATGTCTGCTTTGATGCATTGAAAAAAGGTTGGTTGGAAGGATGTAGGAAGATCATTGAATTTGATGGGTGTTTTCTAAAGGGAGTCTGTAAGGGTGTATTGTTGGTAGCAATTGGGAAAAATGGGAATCAACAAATGTATCCCATTGCATGGGCTGTGATAGACAATGAGTCAAAAGTATCTTGGAGTTAGTTTATAAACAACTTAATATCTGATTTGGAGTTAGGAGATGGAGCTGGATTAGCAGTTATGTCTGATATGCAAAAGGTATTTTACCAAAACTTTCTACTTCATTTCTACTTTCTGTTTTAAATTTCTACTTCATCTCTACTTTTTTTTTTAATTTCTACTTCATCTCTACTTTATGTTTTAAATTTCTACTTTATCTTTATTTTGTAGGCATCTGTTTGATCCATTTCTGTTTTGTAGGGATTGGTACCAAGCATTCATGAGTTACTACCAAATTGTGAGCATCGAATGTGTGCTAGGCACATATGGTCTAACTGGTCAAAAACTTGGAGATGTGAGGAGATGAGAAAGCAATTTTGGAGGTGTTCTGTCATGACCCAAAATCTGACTAGTCGTGATGGCACCTAGCCCAACCCGCTAGATAAGTCAATTAACCACTAACAAATTTCAATAATAATTAATAATACAATTAAGTAAAGAAATATATGAATCTTATTATTTCCTCAATGACTGGTAGTACAAATCATGAGCTTCTAAGAATGGAGTATACAAAGCTGGTATGAAGTAAATATACTATTTGTTCAAAAAGTACATAAACAGAGTTTATGAATCTAAGGCTACCATGAACAAGAGGCAGCAACAACTGGAACACAGGTACATCTTCATATCCAGCTCCCAACGAACACAGCAACATCAACAGCCAACATCTGCACGCAAGGTGCAGAAGTGTAGTATGAGTACAACCGACCACATGTACTCAATAAGTAACAAACCTAACCTTAGGTTAAAAATAGTGATGAGCTTGTACCAAGGTCAGAGTCCAATTTCCATAACCAACAATAGTTCATAACAATATAAAACAAGTAATACTAAAAGTAACTCAGAAATAAAATGCTCAACAAAATCATAATTTTTGAAAAATAGTTCTGCATTTCAAGTATATTAGTGAAAAATTCAAATCGTTTACCGTTGTTGCCAAAAATATGGGTAAGTTTGAAAATCGTAAAATTTCCCAAAAATCATTTCCTCAATAAATAAGATGCTTTATTTTCTTTTCAGATATCCAGTGAAAAATGCATCACTATGCCCATATACCAATATGTGTGAGAAGTCATGGATGACGTGATACCGTACAACATGAGAAAAATGCATCTCTATGCATGTATGTCATGTGTGCATGTCAATGCAATGTATCTCATAGACGAACTCATGTACTCACACTCTCAGAGTACTCAATCTCACTTTCTCATGCATTCCACTCATCATGTTCAATCACTCGGTACTGTATATGGCCAACTGGCCCAGGGAAGATCCATCCCGGAATATACACATCAACTGATCATCAGTCACTCAGTACCGAGTAGGGCCAATCCAACCTGTGGAGAAGATCCATCTCCAGGTATATAATACTTCGGACAAGATCCATATCCAGGGAAGATCCATCCCTCAATAATATCAACTGCGCTCATTGGTGGTGTATACAGACTCCGGAGAGGTTCCTTTAGCCCAAGCGCTATAATCCACACGGACAACTCACGTGCCATAGTATCAATATCATAATCAATCAGTCCCTCGGTCTCACTCAGTTATCAATCTCTCCAGTCTCTCTCTCACGGGCTCACAATGTCATGATATTAGCCCGAAAATAATGATATGATGCATCAATAAATAACAATAGAGACTGAGATATGATATGCATATGAATGCGTATGACTGAGTATGTAATGAATGAAAGCAGATAACTCAACAATAGAAATGACCTTAGTGGGTCCCAAACAGAATAAGTATGTAGCCTAAACATGGCTTTTAACATGAATCATAGCTTGATAACTCTAGTACATAGACATTTCATGATTTCAAATAAGTTCAGTTAACTACATAGTACCACAGAAATAACGAAATTACAGCTCACACAGTGCATGCCCATACATCCGTCACCTAGCATGTGCATCACCTCAATACCAAACACATAATATGTATATTCAGGGTTCATACCCCCAGCTCCAAGATTAGAAGAGTTACTTACCTCAAACAAAATGAATCCAATACCGAGTAAGCTAAACAATGCTTCAGAACTTCCATTCTGCGCGTATCAACTCCCGAACGGCTCGAATCTAGCCACAATCAATTTGATTCAGTCCACACAACTATAGGAATTAATTCCATAAAAATACTAATTTTCCCACAAAAATCTGAAATTGCACTAAAAATAACACATGGGGCCACATCTCGGAACCCGACAAACTTTATAAAATATGAACACACATCCAACCACGAGTCCAACCATATAAATTTCACCAAATTCCGACATCAACTCGACCCTCAAATCTCCAATCAAAGTCTTTGAAGATTTCTACCATTTTCAAACCAA